TAGTTGGAGAAAAGAGTTCAATAATACAGCACACACAGGCTTTGACTATAAACAGCTACCGTTCAAGTGCAACCGTTGTCATGAATACGGCCGGGAGATGATGTCCTAAACAAAACCAACCTATCCAATAAATTCCAATCAGACGGAAGTCAACCTGATCAGCCTTTACTTTTGAATTCGCCATGGAAGAAAGAACGATTGTTTAGTCTCAACAACTAGAACATAATCCCACAGAGAATATAAGGAATTTAGATGTTCCATTTGACACAGAGGGGAAGCCAACCTAGGGAGGTGACACAGACCTCTCAACGCGGTGGGAGGACTGAAAGAAAGCAGCAACATACGCGAAGTTGAAATCTACTCTATCAATGAAAAATGAAGAATAACCAAAGTGAAATGTTACAAGAAGATCTACCACTTCAACAGTTCTACAATAAGGAAGAAAAAATGATTGACAAAGGTAAGCGAGTCCACCCGGAACTGAGAAACTCGTAATCAGAAAGTGAGCTTGTATAGTAAGGGGAAAACTAATTTCCAACCAACCAGAAATGAGGAGGAAGAGGATCGGTCGAAATGGCTAGTGATTCTGACTGATACATCGAAATTTCCTCCCCTATTTGTTTTGTTTTGTTTTGTTTTGTTTTGTTTTGTTTTGTTTTGTTTTGTTTTGTTTTGTTTTGTTTTGTTTTGTTTTGTTTTGTTTTGTTTTGTTTTGTTTTGTTTTGTTTTGTACTCAAGAGACAAAAAAGACCCGGTCAGGATGAACCGGTTATCTTATGAAAAAACTTATCCTAGAACATTAGAGGCTTAGGAAACTTAAGAAAATGAGAAGGATAGTAGAACAACATCATATTGACTATTCTTGCAGGAAATTCAACTGGGCAGCCCAGCCAATTAAGCCAAGGATACCTACTGGAGTCGCTTTCAGTAGTCTTTATCCCCATTCCAACACCCCTTTAAGTAAGAAAGTAAAAATCGGCCTGATTCGGAAGAAGAGAATGAAGGCCTCGCTTTCCAACACTGAAACTAACGACTCCTTACTGGATCAAATTGGGCATACCAATAAACTCTGGCTCATTGATTGACATCTCTAATCTATATAAACAAACATTATCCCGCATTAAAAAGGCAGGAACTATAAATGTTTTTGGATATGGAATGTTTATACATGGGGGATTATAACCAGATCAGACTCACCCTTAACTAGATAAAGCTAAAAGGGCAGTCGAAGATCTGCTGATCGTCTCATGTCTACATTCAGAGAACTGCTCAGTATAATCTAACTGGAATTAAATAATGGAGTTTTTACCTGGTCTAATCGACAAGAGGGAGTAGAATCCGGGAAAGGCCCTATGGAGTAAAGGGAAGGTATCATGGAGAACGAATCTATCTTACTTGAATCCATTCTTACCACTACTTGGAAGGGCTGATCATAGACCTATATTAATGACAACCAAGGAGAAGCCCTATACTTTTGAGGATGGATCCATATCTAGACTGGGGCTTCTGAATGCAGAATGTATACAATTGATTGAGGAAACTTGGAATGAAACTTCCAGGAATTTGAAAGCTCCTGCCTACTGCTTTAACCGAAGACTAGTACTAGTAGCAGTAGCAATTCAACAACGACTAAAGGCCCCTACTGAAAATTCAAAAGGCGAAGGAAATGCATGTTAAAAATACAAAACAAGCAAAAAAGGCGTGAATGAAAAAGGAAGATTAGAACAAGCAAGTAAGAGAGAACCACATGCAGAACACATAGAGGACTATTGTATGTATAGAAGATTGGAAGCTCAGCTTTAAGTCAAGAAGGGTAGGGGAGCCGCTGCGCCTACAATCTCGACAGTTTTGGTGAAAAGGTTTTTCTTTTTTCCACGCATCTATTAAGAAACGCAGAATCCACACTTTCATCAATTTGAAATGCCCAACAGGCAGGCCGGGTTTTGGTTCAGCATGAGGAGATAAGGACAGAAGTTATGAAATTGTTCTCACACTTATCCATCTTATCAAGCCAACAGCATATAGCAACAGTCCATCAAATATTTCAAAAGTCCTCCAAGCAAAAAAAAAATGATTCAATCTGGTAAACTATCTATCAACAACAGGGGGCTGTTCATAGTCAAAAACTACTAGACTAGATGGATTCCAACTAAACTTTCACTTCTACTTGGTTGATTAATGCAGGGGCAGTGCTGGAACATAATTAAGGAAGATCTCCATCTCCATATGGTAATTGAAGTCAAACAGGAGCAAACCAGGTGCAATTCAATCCTTCTTCCTAGCAATGATTCCCAAAAAAGCAAAACCTCACTAGACCGAGGCCCATTGCTATAGAAACTACACTGTATAAGAGAATGACTAAGGTAATTGCCAATCTATTGAAAGACAGGCTGGCTCTTTAAAAAAGGCGTCCTCCTAATCTCATTTGGATAGGAAGAGATATTGATGATTATCCCAAGGATGCTTACTACTCAGCTGATAGATCAGGTGAGCCAGCCATGATCACTAAACTCGCCAAACCAGCAACATATGAAAATTTGAATAATAGGTTTCTATATGCTTAAGGAAAATTGGATTTTCGGAGTAGGATACGAAAGTGTATTTATATACAATGGATAGCACCTATAATCCATGGACGACCAGTGGAGTTCATAAAAGAAACCAAAGAAAGGTCCGCGACAAAGCTGTCCCCTCTCTCCATATCTCTACTTGCTGGCTGGTTGCAGATAACACTGTAATAAGAACAAAGCCAGATAGAGAGCAAAGCGCCAATCGTTCGAGGCTTCAAAACTTTATTTTTTCCTTGTTTCCCCGGGGGAAAACATTTTGTATACTTTGGTCATGTTAAAAAAACCCCAGACGACGACGGATACTAAGAAAACTGGGATTCAAAAAAGGATTAACAGATGATCTACGGACTTACTTGGCTTGGTCCCAGTTTATAGGCATTAAGACAATCTATAACTAGTTGGAAGGGGCGCAAGGAAAGCAGGAAAAAATGCAGTCAAAAGGAGCCTGCCTTAGTCTCAAATAGGGCTTAGCCTCAGTGGCAGACAACTCTTATTAAACATGTCTTTCGGCTTATACCAATCACATGGCTACCATACTACTGGCAACCATTTCTTTTTAGGAAGAAGTTTTCCCGGTTGTCGAAAGCAGAGTCTGCCGAAACTATTGTTGGGGAAGAAAGGAGCAGAGAAAGACCTCCTTGCTTTCCGAATAGCCGGCTTTGGCGTACCAACCCCATTCTGTTGCGGGGTCTTTGGACATGTCAGTTGCCGACGAATTCCATGTTCACTGCAATAATCTGAAAACTCATCTGACAGATACTCCCCCCCCATTATTGGTATGCAAACACTTTATCATAAACCCAAACTCCTTCTCTACATGCATCTTGAACTGAGTGAACTTAGAGAAAGCTTCACTCTTGTGTTCCAAAAAATAGACCCAAGTGAACCGTGAGAAGTCATCCACGATAACCATCACATAATGACAACCGTTATAGCTAGGTGTTCCTGTTGACCCCATTAGATCTGAATGGACCAACTAGAACAAAGTAGACGCACGATTCTTTGATCTCTGAAAAGGAAGGCGATGAGATTTGCCATATTGACAACCGGGACAAACCACATCTTGATGTACCTCCTTAAACATGGGAACACCGTCAAGCAGTTTCTTCATGGAGATTTGCTGCAACATTTGATAACCAAAGTGGCCTAACTGAGCATGCCAAAGTGAGGCACTATTACTCTTGCTTGTTCTGTCTACATATGCTTCACTTGCAGATA